TTAATTTGATTTGCATGTACTCTTATGTTGTTTACTCTATCGAATTTATGTATGAGTATATAAAATATAATAATTCTGTTCTTTTTATATAAAAGTTTAACTAATAAGATTATTTTACATATTTTTAACATTTTGCGGGGTTATTAACCTCTACAAACTAACCGCTACAGTTTATTGGACTCAATACCAGTGGTTATTCAAAACTCCCGTAGATAAACTGTGGGAATCATATAAGCGGCCGTTTTTTATAACTCCCGCAAAATAATTTGTGGAGGTCAAAAATCCCCTGAAATTCGAATAATAACCCCCCACAATTCATGCACGTTTTTTGTAGTGCTTTAGGATCAAAGAGTTACCATTACAAGAACACAGATGATGAAAATGAATCACCTACATCAGAAATCAAGCTCTTCAAGAACAAAAATAAATTGCTCTTGTCTTTATGTAGAGGTTTGCCGCTCCCAGAGTATCTTCATTTTGATCATCCTCTCTTCTGAGCTCTTTTCACAAATAGAAGTGCCATTATTAGTGGATTTGAGAGAAATCTCAAGTATCTTTGACTTCTTTATACATGATAAGAGTATTGACCAATCATTAATCAGAGAGTGAAGGAATCAACACATCCTCTTCACTTTATCTTACTCCCAGTTGGTCTTGTACTTCTTCACATACCGGCACCATCTTGTTTTATTAATATGGGATGTGAGCAGCTCGACATCTATATCTTAGATGAGAGCTTGAAGGGTCTTGAGAAAGACTCAAGAGACTTTGACTATAATACACATATTTATCACTTCTCTGGACAACAACTCAAACTATTCCAAGAATAGATCTTTCTTGAACCACAACTCAATGAACACACAAGTCTACTGGAGTTCCTTCACCAGAGACATGTGCAGCGAAACAAAATACATTCTCAACAAGCTCTGGGTAAGATGTAAAAAAAGATATTATAGAACATCGTGTGGAAGAGATATCCTCAATATTAGCCAACAGTTAATAATTAGAATATATAGGCATAACTCCTTCTGTCAAACCAAAATCCTCCTCTTCCTTAAGGGAATGTCCAAATCACCAAAAGACGAATCAACCTGAACATCACAGGTTCACATATCAGTGACACATGCAACAAAAGAACAATGCGCCTCACAAGTAACACCGCAACCATATCAATAGCTACAACCAACACCTTGCTCCTCCAAGTCCATTGTACCAGAAAGTATCTTTCCTAGATCTCACCCAGAACAGAATAGGATGTCTGTTCTGATACCAATTGAAATTCGGGTATACAAATAACAATATCCTAACACATGTTGAGACAAAGATCTTTGCTTAACAACACCTAGACTGGATAAAGCACACTGATATAATACTTATCAGAACAGTGTCATGGTAGATGTTTCAACATCTTATATGACATGTCAATTAACAAGAAAAAACTGAACAATAGAGAATGGTAATAACAGAAAGATATGATGACACAGTTCGGTAAACAACAACCCCTACTTTGGGGGATACCAAGCCAAGAAGAAGATTCCACTATCAGTAGTATTATTTTATGTAAACAACCTTAGGTTTAACAGTAAACAACCTCTGTTTTACCTAATCACTACCCAATGCAATTTTTATCTCAAAACTCCATCTAAAGATAAGAGAAACCCATCTCACTCCCTAAATCACCTCAGTGATATCTAACAATTACAACCTCTGGTGGTTGCATCATACTACTTGAAATACACCTCTTACAAAATAAAGCTCATCCAAGACTCTTGACTAACAAACATACTTGGATTTGCTTCAAAGCTTCATCCAAGAACAATATACAATTCATTACATAAAAGGCTTCTGAATCTGTATAGAAACAATGTCTACCACAATGTATCAAACTGATACAAAGAGTGACTTACAACACAAGAAAGTACACGACTCCCAAAATCCTAAACCCATTATTTTACTTTACAAAAATATTACACAAGGATTAGTTGAAAAGCTCTAGGTCAAAGTCTTCCTTTTGTAATCTCTAGCTGTCCATAGGCTTCGAATCTTCTGTAAAAATATTCCTTAATCCACTACTAAAGCGCTCCTTAAAATCTTGGAACAAATTTACTAAAAACCTACTGCAGTAGTCCTGGATGTCGAGTCTTCATTGTAGGACATCTTGTTTGACATGTTGTTTTTCTCATATTTTAACATCTTGTTTAGCATCTAGTTTTACCAAATTTAGTTAAATCTTTAGAGCTTTCAGTTAATTTTTGCATATTTGTATGCTCGTCTATTTAAGTCGTTTATTTTGCTTAAGAGTTTTAGGGGATTTTCTCGTTAGTATTGAGGTTCGCCAGTGAGAGGAGACGGGTCGAACGACCAGGGTAAGTTTTCAGGTATAAGCCGAAACTCAGGTCTCGTTAGGAGCTTGAGCTCGGTGGCATGAACTCCCATCACGAGTTGGGTGTTCTACCATCATGGTACGATGGCGGTGGAGCTCGTTTGAATTTTCCCCGTCGGGCTAAGAATATGCTCGTTAAAAGAGTAGAAACTTTCCTCTTTGTTTAATTCTAGGTGTTATGCTTGTACCTGAGTATGCACACGTGGTCGGGATTGATGCGTATGTCGTCTTGATAGAGCACGCCGACTGTTTTTGTGCCTTAACTGTAATATTGTTTCAGTTTTTTGGTGTTACAAGGTTGAGTAAGTTGTTCCCCATGTATGTTTTCTAACTAGTAGGCTCCGCCTTGTGTTTTTGCTCGGACGTGGTAAGGGTCTTCCCAGTTTGCAGCAAGCTTGCCTTCACGAGAATCTTTGTGATTTCTCTTCAGGACTAGGATACCGACTTTGAACCCATTCCGCATGACTTTAGCGTCGTAACATATGTCAATTTTCTGTTTGAGAGAGGCTTATCGCAAGGCTGCTCCTGTTCGGACTTCTTCGACGAGATCGAGTTCTTCCCTTAATGCTTCGTCATTCATCTCCTCATTGAGAGGGACTTCAGTCAGTCTAGAGGGCTCTTTGATCTCGACGGGGATAACATCTTAGTTCCGTATGCTAGTCGAAAAGGATTTTCCCCGGTGGACGAGTGAGATGTCGTTCGGTAGGACCAGAGTATGTTGTGTAGCTCCTCGACCCACCTCTTTTTGGTTTTGTCTAGCCTTCATTTGAGGCTTCATAGGATTACCATGTTCGCAGCTTCAACTTTCCCGTTTGTCTGTGGGTGCTCGAAGGACGCGAGGTGTTGGGTGGTGCCAAATTTGGCGACGAATTCCTAGAAATTTTTGTCTGTGAATTGTATCCTGTTGTCGGTGACAATTACTTGGGGTATGTCGAACCGGGCAAAAATGTTTCTCTTATAGAAACAGAGAATGTTTTGTACTGTGATTATAGCCAGCGCTTATGCCTCTATCCATTTTGTGAAGTAATCAACAACTACTATCAGGTACTTGTTTTCGTTTGGTCCCACCACGAATGGTCTGAGGATGTCCATGCCCCACCACGCGAAAGGCCATGGGGATGATAGATATTTGAGTTTGCTTGGGGGTGCTAAGTGCATATCCCTGTGGCGTTGGCATTTGTCACATTTCTTTACGTGCTCTTTAGCGTCATGTTGCATGGTAGTTCAGTAGTATCCTTCCTGTAACGTCTTCTTGGAGAGGGATCTTCCACCCAAGTGTTGGGCGTTGATTCCTTCGTGGATTTCATGTAGGATATGGGTGACTTTACTCTCTTCGACACATTTAAAGAGGGGGATGGAGAATCCTCTCATTTACAATTTTCCTTCGACCAGGACGTAAGAGTAGGATATTCGCCTGACCATGCCTGCCTCTTTATGATCGGATGAGAGTTCCTCCATTGTGAGGTTGTTATATACCGGAGTCATCCAGCAGTTATTATCTCCGATGACGCACACGTCCAGAGTCGAGGAGGACTTTTCAATGCTTGTGCGAGGAAGCATTTCCTTTATTACCGATTTGTTTCCTCCTTTCTTCTTTGTAACAATCAACTTTTGGATGCATTGCATGCCATTACCTAAGGTTGTTCTCCAAAAGGTTGATGCAATTAACAGAAGTTTCCTATAGACTGGTGGTAAAGATATAACCAGGAAATCTCCAATAGCTTGACAAAAAGTTTGCAGCCTTAAAGTTTCAGGTGGCATGAACCTTATTGACCTTGTTGTTTGGAATATAGTGAATCTTATGAAGATGCTTAAACTTAAGTAAGAAATAGACAACTTGTGGATAAAATGGATTCACACGTATTACATCAAACAAGATAATATGATGAGTATGAATGCTAAAGATAGCCACTCTTGAATCATGAAAAAAATTCAGCAGCAGAGGGATGGGTACCAACAGGTGCTGGTTAAAATCCAAAACAATGGGCATTTCAAAATGAAAGAAATTTATCTTGCTCTTAAGAATATGGAGCCTAAGGTCAATTGGTACAACTTGCTCTATCACAACATGATCCGACCTAGATCTCAATTTATCTTGTAGTTAGCATGTAATAACAAACTTACTACTAAAGAAAGATTGCATTGATTTGGAATGATATCTAATAATCATTGGGAATTTTGCCAGGAAGTGGAAACCATTCAACACTTACTATTTTCCTGTCATGAAACAAAGGAATATTTGGATTAAGGTTTTGTAATGGATTCAAATTCAACACACCCCTAAAGATTGGAAGGAGGAATTAGGTTGGTTGGTCAAAAAATGCAAAGGCAAATAATTTTTTTTTTTAAATTTTAAATTAATTTTAACAGCCAACAAATCAGTAACAAATGTTTCAAAATAAAAATCATAAGAAAGAAAGCAACATTGCACCATCTTTTCACTTTCTTGGTCTGTCAAAAATCTAGTTAATATTATTCTACTTTAAAAATTCCACACCCTAGACCCCAAACTTTCCTCTCACCTCCCTGTTTCTATTCCCTCATCCTCTTTTTAAATCCATTTCTAACAAACACAATCTGTTTGGTCTTAGCTTTCAATCACTTTTTCTTCCCTGTAATGGAAGTAAGTCTTTTACTCTTCATCTTCATGTAAAACTTTTCTGAATTCATTCCTATGTTTATTTTTCTTATATATAAATTTCTTTTGGTGTTATGTTATGGATATGAATTAGGAACACTATTATAAGAGAAGTCATGTACCAGCATTTGGGAGCTGGGATTGGAATGATGATCATAATAATTTCCCATATACAAAGTGTTTCGATTCTGCGAGGCAACCTGCTTCACTATGCTATAGTTACTCTGAGTCTGAGGATCGTGATCTTTATGTAACAGAAGATTTCTACGACAACCATAATGTGTCACCCACCAGAATCCTTGTTCCTCGCAAAAGGGTGCGTATCACTGAAAATTCTTATTCTTGTCTTTTTGTATATAGGTTTCAATCTTATGGTTTATTTATATTCATGAATTAATATAAATAAATGATCATTAATTTACCATGTTATTTACGTAATTTTGAAACATAAATATGATTTGTTGATATACTTTTGAAAAAAAAAAGATAAATAAAAATATATTTATGAATATTCTTTGAGTTAGACTGAGACTCAATTCTCACTGTTTAATTTTGTTTATATAAAGATAGAGTTTATAAACGTGATGCTTATATTTCAGGCAAAAAAATTGGTGAATAATACTCATATTGAACAAAGCCTAACTCCACTACCAACCTCAAAACCAATTGATGATAATGATTTATATAACATCTCGCCACACCTTCGTTATGCCAAAGTTAAAAAGGTTCATCATACCCCCTCTTTTACTTTTTCCACCATAAGAACATAGTTTTTCATTGATTTTTTATTATCTACTCAATTTTCTACTCTTAATTTGGTCAAAGATTTGTATCTTTTGATAAAGTGTTTATTACTTTTCTTTTTAACTTTTGTTCTTTTTCTCATTTTATTGTGTGCAGAGGAGACGATTATGTTTCTTTTCTAGTTGCTTTTTACCAGCTTGCATTGGTTGATATCAGAAGGAATTGAAGTGGTCCAAAGGCCAAAAATGTAAAAATATATTTAATAGAGGAATGAATACTTCAATTGGATCAATTATAGTGGATGAGATTTTGTGTGGCATGTACAATTATTAATGAAACGTCTTTTCTTTTATTAGGGTTGTTTCAAGGGTTAAAAACTCTTTTTTGGAATAGATTTTTTAAGAACATAGAATAACTTTAAGAGAAAATATTTTTTTTTATAAAATGTGTTTATTTAAAATTTATGATATTTTATTTTCCCAAATTTTTTTTATCGTATTTTAGAGATTATTTATAAAAGTGGAATATATGTGTAGTTACAAAAGTGGAATAACTTTATTGGATCCTAGAGGGAAGTAATATATGGTTTAATTTCTCAATGGAATTGTGAGTGGACCGTTAGAAGAATTGTGCGGACGCAATGTCAAATTACTAAATTGCAGCTTGGGTTGTCCGGCCTAAATTCATGTATAATGTTAGTCTATCTCTCCCATGTATGGTGGAGAGGAGAATGGAACCCCAAACATAGCGAGACAATTAAGAAAGACTCCAACTGTCATCGGGATGACGAAAATCAAGGGTATTGAGCCAAGTTCTCACCAGAGTCCATTGAATACATCATGGGATAAAATTTGGTGAGAAATCACGATTAAGAATCCTTATCCAGTATGAAAGTAAGTTATGATGAATAAATCAAAATACTATCAGTTTCACAAAAGTCACAGCCATAAGACTAACAAGTGTATCGACCAAAAGGAAATGATAGAGTAGTTGATCAAGAAGGGAGGACTTATTTGATACATCCAAGAGGGAAGTAGAAAAGACGACTAGGATATAAGAAAAATCTATAAGAGGTGAGACGAATTGCTAAGGAAAAAATGATTTCTTAGAGGAAAAGGGTCCTTAGAGAAAACTATAGAGGCATCAAGTGGAGCTAAAAAAAAGAAAGACAACAATGGTGAGAAGGTGGAAGACCATTGAGGAAAGCCTCAATACATCACATCCATCACGTGAGGCCTCCTTCGACCAAAAAACCCCTCCAAAGACATGGTAAAAATGAGAATTGTTGAGCTAATGTAGGTTAACAAGTAAGAGGGAATAGATTCCGAAGGAAAACTAGAGAGACATATTCTCTGGTTTCGGGATAGTGAAAAAGTGCGCGGAATTCCAAATGAAAATTTTCCTTTGGTAAAAACAATAAATATAATCAACTTTAATGTGCCCATATTCCTAGTTGATGGGGGAGTTATTGTGACCTTATATATGTGGAGCTATTTTAAAAGCTTTCACTGAAAAAGGAGAAGTTCTGGCCATATGAGAGATCCTACCTACAATCTTTCAACGAAATTACCACTCACTCCATGGATTACATTAAGATAATGGTTTTCCTTGGAGAAGTAAGGGAAACTATGATGGATGTCTTGCGATTCTTAGTAGTTCACTATATAATTGTCTACAATTGAATTATAGGAAAATCCTTCGCTACAACTTTAGGTGTGGTGGCCTCTTCAATCAACTTAAAAAATTAAGTATCACAATGTTCATGACAAGGCGGTGACAATATACACCGACCTATATGGAGCAAAAAGGATACACAAAGCTTTGCCACACTACCAAAAGGGGAAAGAAAAAGATAATATGATTAAATAATGTATCCACCCTCACTAAGTAATTGACAGATATGTCAATCGAACTTCCAAAAGAAGAGACTGATGTTCTCAAAAAGTATGGCATACATCATTCTAATTTTAAAGGTGCAGGGGAGGACTCTAAATAAAGGGTTAAATCAACTAGGGTGCGACACACCGGCATGCTTAGAGACCAATAAGTTATAAAATAGTGTCTTGGTTAAGTTTCTTTTTTCTATATACTGAAAGCTCACTCTCCATCATAATGCAATGTCCTTTTCAATGAGATTGAATAAATTTTCACCTAATTTTCTTTCTTATGATCATCAAGGATATGCACCACCCAGGGTCACTATTGCAAATGCAATAAGCGTATGACCAAAGCAATTAAAAACTTATAGCATAAGTCACATGAATAAAGACCACATACCACAAAAAGAAGTGGTGATCACAGGTTCACCCCCATCTTGGTAGCTAACCACTCTAGAACGTGTAACACCCCAATTCTACCCCAAGCAATTATGTAAGATAAATTAGAGTCATAAAATTTCAATCGTACAAATGAATCGGGACGTCACAAATTCTTCTAACAAATTCATTGCATTCATCGTGGATATATAACACTTCTTCAAACATCGGATGAACCATCAACATAACATCTTTAATCAAATAAATCAACATCTATGCAGCAGAATTCTTAATAACATCTCTAACAAAACAGCAACTTCGAAACATCTCATATTTAATGATAATCAAATTAAAACTCAACAACTGAAAGTCAACAATCAAAAACAGCAAACGTTCATCCCCCCGAGTGTTACATATCAGAGCAATGACACCGACTCGAACTATTGAAGAAGTACAACCTTCACTCTCAATTACCTGCACGTTACCAACATAAGGGAAACATTCAAACAGAAAGGGTGAGATATCTAACAATATAATAAAGTGCATGATAATTAATATATTAAATTAGATCAACAACATCACCACTTCTCATCTCATAACCAACATCAATCTCAGCAATAATAAACAGTCATTCACATCAAAATACACTTCTTTATGAAATCATATAATGCGACTCAAAACTATGCAAATGCATGTGGTACCATTGGAGCAGAACTCCCATCTCAAAAATTTGCCAATTGATAGAGGCATCAACAAGGCATAGCCTTCATCTCAGAATTTGCCAATCCAGGCCATCTCAACGAGCATAAGCTCCATCTTAGAAATGCAATGTATGCGACACAACCATGAATGTAATGATAACACTCAAGTTAACAACATCTCAAATCATCACAAAACATCTCAAATCATTATCTCAAACATCTCAAATCATCATCTCAAAACATCTCAAAATAACATCTCAAAACATCTCAAAATAACATCTCAAAGATATCTCAAATTAACGTCTCAAAATAACATCTCAAATAATCAAAATAATTCATCAAACGTCATTTATTTATAAATCATCAAACATCATTTATTTATTAATAAATTCTCATTAATAACACAACAGTATTTAATTTCCGCAGTAAATCAACACTGTCATTCTGAAATTCCAACGTCAAGAACATCACTTTCCTACTGTTATAGCTCAAACAACAGCTTCTATGCATCTAATGTTCATCGTTCTGCACAAACAACGCAAAGTCCAACACAACTTCTGACCACGCAACCTTTAACCAACACTATTTCTAAGTACACAACTTCTAATGACGCAACCTCTGAGCGACACAATTCTCTGACTACTATAACTTCTGACTAATGCAACCTCTGATCAGATGAAAGTTCTGATCATCACATCTTCTGACCACTCAACCTCTGACCAGATACAACTTCTGATCATCACACCTTCTGATCACCACATCTTCTGATCATTCCATCTTCTGACTAATCCTATCTTCTGACTAATCTTATCTTCTGACTAATCCCATCTTCTGAATAGATACAACTTCTGATCATCACAGCTTCTGACTAATACAACCTCTAACATCAGAATTGCTACCTTTCACTATGCCACACATCTTCTAACAACTTACGTCTAACTTCAGAACTTCTATCTTGCACTAATCTAACACAGATCTAGTCAACATACTGCTACTGTCAGAACTGCTACTTTCTATTCATCCTATTGTTCTAATTCCTTGCCTGATATCAATCTAACTACGAACAGTATGATAAATATATTCTCCAAATTAATTCATTAATTCTAATACAGTAGCGCCTATTATCAATTCACCAAAATTTGCTTTTACATTACTGCTATATTCTATGTTTTTCATCACAGCATCTCACTACGGTTCCATAACTAAAACCCTAAAACTTATTATAATCATGTCAATTCATCACTCATAATCATCTTATAATCATACAGCGTTTTAACAATATCAAGGCATCAATATTCATCAAGATTCATCAATCCTCATCATACATCAATCATATATTCTCAATTCACAAACAAGACAACAATCACCTCTAACCCCACATACCAATCATCATAAACCCAATTATAGAGTTAAAACCCCACCCTTACCTTGGATTGAAGGTCGCTCTACAATTCCGGTTGGATTCACGTTCTTGCCGTTTTCCACTTTCTCTAACAGCTTGCACGTTCTCTTTCAAATCCTTATTTCTTTCTACTGCTTCTTTCTTATATTCTAACAACAAATAATAAAATAACCCTATTATTCTATTATTCCTTATTGGGCTTAAAACCAACACACCCCCTTTATTACTTCTATTCTCTCAAAATAAGCCCACATTAAATAATATTACACTTCTAATATTATTTCACCACATAATATTATATCTCTAATATTATTTCTCCACTTAATAAAATAAATCCAATTTATTATAACACATCTTCATAAATATTCCAAAAAAAAATAATTAAATAATTAATTAAATTACGGGCGTTACAACTCTCCCCCACTTAGAATATTTTCGTCCTCGAAAATTTACCTCAATCGAACAATTCAGAATAGGAGTCTCGCATCTTGCTCTCCAACTCCCAAGTCATGCTTTCACCAGCAGCTCCTAGCCAAACCACTTTAACCAAGGAAATCTCTTTTCCCCTCAGAGTCTTCATTTCACGATCCGCAATCCGTACATGCATCTTCTCCACCGTAAGATTATCCCGTACTTGCACATCATCCATATGAATCACATGAGATGGATCTGAAATATACTTCCGAAGTTGCGACACGTGAAACACATCATGCAAATTAGAAAGATTAGGCGGTAAAGCCACTTTATAAGCAACATTTCCAACTCTCTCTGAAATCTGATACGGTCCAATAAAAGGAGAAGTGAGCTTCTTAGACTTCAGTGCTCACCCAACACCAGTCACAGGTGTAACTC